TAAACAAATCAAAATATATTTTATATTTGAGATTATTCAAATAGCCACCCTTTGCCTTGATGACACCTTTGCACACTCTCTCAACCAGCTTCATGAGGTAGTCACCTGGAATGCATTTCAATTAACAGGTGTGCCTTCTTAAAAGTTAATTTGCGGAATTTCTTTCCTTAATGCATTTGAGACAATCAGTTGTGTTGTGACAAGGTAGGATGGGGTATACAGACGATAGCCCAATTTTGGTCTATAAGCAAAGAGAAACGAAAGTCCATCATTACTTTAAGACATGAAGGTCAGTCAATACAAAAAATGTCAAGAACTTTGAAAGTTTCTTCAAATGCAGTCGCAAAAACCATCAAGCGCTATGATGAAACTGGCATTAGACTGGTGGAAATGTGTCCTTTGGTCTGGAGTCCAAATTGGAGATTTTTGGTTACAACCGCCGTGTCTTTGTGAGATGCGGTGTGGGTGAACGGATGATCTCCACATGTGTATTTCCCACCGTAAAACATGGAGGAGGAGGTGTTATGGTGTGGGGGTGCTTTGCTGGTGACACTGTCTGTGATTTATTTAGAATTCAAGGCACACTTAACCAGCATGGCTACCACAACATTCTGCAACAATACGCCATCCCATCTGGTTTGGGCTTAGTGGGAGTATCATTTGTTTTTCAACAGGACAATGACCAACACACCTCCAGGCTGTGTAAGGCTATTTTACCAAGAAGGAGAGTGATAGAGTGCTTCATCATATGACCTGGCCTCCACAATCCCCGACCTCAACCAAATTGAGATGGTTTGGGATGAGTTGAATCGCAGTGAAGGAAAAGCAGCCAACAAGTGCTCAGCATATGTGGGAACTCCTTCAAGACTGTTTGAAAAGCATTCCAGGTGAAGCTGGTTGAGAGAATGCCAAGAGTGTGTAAAGCTGTCATCAAGGCAAAGGGTAGCTATTTGAAGAATCTCAAATATAAATACAGTGAGGGAAAAAAGTATTTGATCCCCTGCTGATTTTGTACGTTTGCCCACTGACAACGAAATAATCAGTCTATAATTTTAATGGTAGGTTTATTTGAACAGTGAGAGACAGAATAACAACAAAAAAATCCAGAAAAACGCATGTCAAAAATGTTATAAATTAATTTGCATTTTAATGAGGGAAATAAGTATTTTACCCCCTCTCAATCAGAAAGATTTCTGGCTCCCAGGTGTCTTTTATACAGGTAACGAGCTGAGATTAGGAGCACACTCTTAAAGGGAGTGCTCCTAATCTCAGTTTGTTACCTGTATAAAAGACACCTGTCCACAGAAGCAATCAGTCAATCAGATTCCAAACTCTCCACCATGGCCAAGACCAAAGAGCTCTCCAAGGATGTCAGGGACAAGATTGTAGACCTACACAAGGCTGGAATGGGCTACAAGGCCATCACCAAGCAGCTTGGTGAGAAGGTGACAACAGTTGGTGCGATTATTCGCAAATGGAAGAAACACAAAATAACTGTCAATCTCCCTCGGCCTGGGGCTCCATGCAAGATCTCACCTCGTGGAGTTGCAATGATGATGAGAACGGTGAGGAATCAGCCCAGAACTACACGGGAGGATCTTGTCAATGATCTCAAGGCAGCTGGGACCATAGTCACCAAGAAAACAATTGGTAACACACTACGCTGTGAAGGACTGAAATACTGCAGCGCCCGCAAGGTCCCCCTGCTCAAGAAAGCACATATACATGCCTGTCTGATTGATTCAGAGGAGAACTGGGTGAAAGTGTTGTGGTCAGATGAGACCAAAATTGAGCTCTTTGGCATCAACTCAACTCGCCGTGTTTGGAGGAGGAGGAATGCTGCCTATGACCCCAAGAACACCATCCCCACCATCAAACATGGAGGTGGAAACATTATGCTTTGGGGGTGTTTTTCTGCTAAGGGGACAGGACAACTTCACTGCATCAAAGGGACGATGGACGGGGCCATGTACCGTCAAATCTTGGGTGAGAACCTCCTTCGTGGATGGGTATTCCAGCATGACAATGACCCAAAACACACGGCCAAGGCAACAAAGGAGTGGCTCAAAAATAAGCACATTAAGGTCTTGGAGTGGCCTAGCCAGTCTCCAGACCTTAATTCCATAGAAAATCTGTGGAGGGAGCTGAAGGTTCGAGTTGCCAAACGTCAGCCTCGAAACCTTAATGACTTGGAGTGGGACAAAATCCCTCCTGAGATGTGTGCAAACCTGGTGGCCAACTACAAGAAACGTCTGACCTCTGTGATTGCCAACAAGGGTTTTGCCACCAAGTACTAAGTCATGTTTTGCAGAGGGGTCAAATACTTATTTCCCTCATTAAAATGCAAATCAATTTATAACATTTTTGACATGCGTTTTTCTGGATTTTGTTGTTGTTATTCTGTCTCTCACTGTTCAAATAAACATACCATTAAAATTATAGACTGATCATTTCTTTGTCAGTGGGCAAACGTACAAAATCAGCAGGGGATCAAATACTTTTTTCCTTCAATGTATATTTTGATTTGTTTAACACTTTTTTGATTACTACATGATCCCATATGTATTATTTCATAGTTTTGATGTCTTCACTATCATTCTACAATGTAGAAAATAGTAAAAATAAAGAAAAACCCTTGAATGAGTAGGTGTTCTAAAACTTTTGACCGGTGGTTTAGCTGTGTGCAAATACAGTTCAGACAAGAAAAATAAATTATTGATCATTCATCGTGGTTCTTTCAACTTTGAACTTTGCCTGTGATCTTTAACGCTGTGCTCTAAATGTTCTTTATTACTCAGTAGAAGTAGTAATAAACATGTCTGGAGGCATTTTCCCTTCTGATGCTTTCTTCTTCCCATCTCACATACTCTCTGTGGCAGTCTATGACCAAACCTCTGTAAAACATCGCAATGTTACTGCCCTGAAATCCAACTAACACATCCTTCAACTCCTCCTCATACCATACTCTCAGCATTGTTGCAATGAAAATGTTACCATAACCAGTGAAAATACATCTCCTACACCTGTCAACAGTTAACCAAAATGTACACTTTTATAAATATAATACATTTAATTATATTTATTGACCTTTAACTGAGAAAACAGAACATATTTATTATTTAAAAAATAAAAATAAATCTGCATGCTTAGCTAACTAGGCACAAAATAATATTAATAATATATTGATGACAAAATACAGTAATTAGACTTTCATATTTAAGACCAATGCACTCCCTCTCCTCTGTCTTCCCCAAAGTAAACTGGAACATCATTCTAATGTTCTAACAGTCCTGACAGATACTCATCTAAACATTTAGTCAACCATTTATTCTACCTGAATGTATTCAACACACATAAAAAGGTGTAATTGCAGAGAGGGGTTTTGAGCATGGGGCTGCTTTCACAGCGGTGCAAGTTAGTTAGTATGAGGTCCAGTGTTCGTGGGCTAGGTGGGGTGTTGGCTCGGCCAAATTAAAGACTCAACTATTAAGCAAAAAATGTGACATTCATCAACCAACCCATGCACAAATAGTTTACTCATATATGACTAAATCAAACAACTCCTTAACGACATTCTACAAGACGCAATTGCATATTTTCAAATTAAAATCAAACCAAACTAATCACGTTATTCTAATGTATTCTCTTCATGCGCCAATCTACTGTATATGTTATATTCATGTCGCAATAAATCAATGCTACAAATTTGAACAAAAGAAGAAGAAATTAAGTTGGCAAGTCATTATGCCTCCATTTGACAATGTACAATTGCGAAATTAACCATTAAGCCTTTATCTCACAAAACAATTTAGACTACAATTTTTTTTGCACATTGATCCTTGATTGCACAAAGAAAACTGGCAAAAACTCTAACCAAGTGCAACCCACGTCCAAAACTATAGTCATTTTGCTTTTCATGTAAAAAAAAAGATGCAATATAGCAGGGTTCTTCAATTCCGGTCCTGGAGGGCCAAAACACTTCTGTTTTTTATTTATACCTGGTAGTTAATTGCACTCACCTGGTCACAGGTCTGAATTAGCCCCTGATTAGAAGGATAGGATGAAAAACAGAGGTGTTTCGGCCCTCCAGGACCGGAATTGAAGAACCCTGCAATATAGGGTCAGTGTGCAGAAAGAACACTGTGACAATGACTAGCTGTGTTAACAAACTGTATCAGTGGCTGGTTAAAGATAGATACATGTTGAATCAGGAGGAGTTATTCAATATTACCAGTTAGCCCTTAATTAGAAAATAAATGTCTAAGAAATGTTATCACAAATCAGTGTTGATTAACTATGTCATCTCATAAGTTTGTGTTACATGTAACCAGCCTCTAGCTGGTTAGTCAAAAACAAGCTGGTTAGTCAAAAGTTCATGCACAATCTGTGTTTGTATACTGCTAAGATGCTTCAATTTCATATACATTACTCTCATTTGACAATGAAGAAATATGTCCTCACAATAACTGGAATTAAATGTTTCAATTTCTTTCAAATGAGAACTACTTTGTGTAACATAGGCTTTAATTCCTTTGGATTTGAAGGATCTTAAAAAAGTTTGAGAAATGCATGGACTAGACTTAAATACATTAAACACTCTCTTAATCATTTGTAATACCTAAGGATAAACAGACAAAGGAAAAAACACATGAAAAAACAAACAGTTACTAACAAATACACAAAACAAATGCACTTGAAACGGCCCCATGCACAAGCATGTCCCAACAGGAGAAGTTAGATAAGGCTTTAGCAGTGGGGAATGGAATAAGACTGGTGAGTGCGACTTTAAAAAATGTATGATTTCTTATGTACCAAGTGAATAATATAGCAAACACCGAGACACACTCCCACGGCAGCAAAGTCTGCCGAAAGACATTCCTCTGGCAGCCTTGTGCACTGCATCTCCCCACTAAAACGTCAGATGGTAAAATAGTAAGGCAGCTGTTAGCTTCTGTCAACTAAAAGTGCATCTCCGAACATATCCAGTCAAGCCCCCCCCCCACCCCCCTCCACATTCCCCCTGTCAGGGCAGATGGAGAGGCAATGCACTTGACTGGTAACAGCTTGGATCAGCAGATATTTCTTTTTGCTTTCGCAATGACTGCTTGCTTCAGCTTTCACAGAACCTAAGCGTGTCACAAATCATCGCCAGCGAAACTGGGCAGCATCAGGGCCGAATTGTCCTGGTCTCATCTTTCTCCCGTGTTTCACTCTATTTCCAGTCCTTCTTTGCCTGAGTCTGTGCCTGACCGGTGCCATTTTTAAAGGCCATTGACGCAACTGCAGAGAGTTAGGGGCCTTGCGCCACTAGTTTTGATGAGTTCACTGAAGATTCAAAACAGTAAAAGGGTTAATAGTTATGTTGAATCACAGTCAGGCTTACTGTATCTTAATATTTCATGTAAAACTTGCAATTTACTCTTTACGTAAACTTTTCTTTTACTTTACGTTACATTTTAAAATGTCATGGAACATAAACTACTGTATCACAATGCTCTACAATTTATAACATCTGAATTGATGTTATTAAGCTGATTCTTACCTCAGTTCAGATTCCGTCAGGTTAAAAAATGGACAAAAATGATTGCTAGACCAATATTCAACAGCATTACAAGGGCAACCAGTATTGAGTTAGGACCCTGTGAAGTAGGAAAGACAACGATTCAGGAGAACATTTCAGAAACTGCATTTTTAAAGTTAGCTAGGCATTATCACTGAAAATATTAGACTACCTTTGATGTTTCACACATTGTTCTGAAATGACACATTTCTTTCTCTTTGTTTCAGTTTTCCCATTTTCATCATCATACAGTATGAGTTACTTACTGACTCTTCCTCTACGAAATCCGTGGTGATCTCCAAGCTGGCTTGTTTCCTAGTTTCTGCTAGGCTTTTTGGCTTATACGAATCTAGTTTCTTAAGTCTTGACTCAGGTCTGCTTTCTTTGGATACCGACTTTGGCGCTATAGGTTTTGGGGTGGGTGTCCTGTACTGCGCCATAGGTTTTCCTGGTGGTGGCATCCGGGCGAGGGCGGACGGGGTAACATGCTCCTCTCCTTCCTCAGGTTCGTCTGGAGGGATCTTCACGTCTGCCTTCACGTAGTAGCCGTGGTACTCAGTGTCAGTATGCAGCTGTCCATTGCCAGGGCTGGCAGGGACCGACTCCCCCATTTTGAACAGTTTCGGTTGAGGCAATTCCTGTCTTACTTCCTGTTTCAACGATGTCTTAGACACTGCCTTTGTGATGACCGGGAGCTGGCTCTCTGCTGTGGGGGTTTTGTTCTCTTTTCCTGGCTTGGGGGCGAGCTTGCTGAAGAAGCTCTTCTTGGGCTCCGGGGTAGGTGCTGGCGGGGGTGTTGGTGGGGGAGAGGACTGTGGACTCGCGGTGGGAGAGTGGTCTGGGGTTGTGCCTTTACGGTAGAAATGAGGGCTACTTGAAGGGGACTTCTCTTTCTTCTCCTCTTGGACAATAGGTTCAATCGGTTCGTTGAACCTCTGCTTTATATAATCAGGGCCTAGAAAATGGAAGGACATTATTATCATGATATACAGTCCTTTTATCTATACTTAGTCAATTTGTAGCATGTACACAGTGATCTAATATCACAATGTTTGAATTAATGTGGTGTGTTTATATCACTATCAACAAACACTCAAGTAGTTAGGGCTGAATCCCAATTTGAGATATAGATATAAACACACACCTACATATTATTTTGTGTTGCTTTTGGTGAATCATAAATGCACATTTATTCACTGTCAGTTAGCTCATGGTTAGGATGCCTTTTCTGCATCCATGATTTCACATATCGAGTATTTGTTCCTTAATGGAGTTTCAAAGCTGCCCCAGTTGGTTTATGATTCCTGTTAAAGGTTCCAAGCATTCTCGACATTCTCCTGACCACTGATGAGGCCAACGCTGTAACACAGCTGACACGAGCTCGCAAGCAAACAAAGTTAACACATTTCTGACGCAAGCAGTGTTATCAAATGGAATCCTGGTTCATAATATTACATTTGTTCTACTATTAATAGCAAGTGCTAAGATCACTTACTAAATCTCTACAAGCTCAGCAGTTGTTCATAAAAAAGCTAATCAAAGCACAATGATAAATAATTCTTAAGACATTTACGGGGCATTAAGAAAAAAGTTATAAGGAATGATTGAAATGAAATAGATTACAGCTTGCAGGCAGGCAGGCTGGCTATTGAACAGGTTGGCTGGTTATGGAACATGGTTGTTAGGAGTCAGTGATATACACTATCCTGATGTCAGGTCACGTGTCAAAGGTTTAGCGAGGCTATATGGGCCGGACCTGAGAAAGACCATGTGGTAAAAACAGGAACGCTCAACAAGCATAATAATATAAGACCACTGACCTACATGCATACAGGAGTTGAACATGCATTAGACCGTAACACGAACACTCATCACACTGAAGAACCACCCTCTCCCAAAACTAAGCAGGCTGACAAAAGTACCGATCTCTATATTTAAATAATTATCTTGCAGAAAAAAATTAATTCATTTGTAGAAGAATATGCTGTACAGTATGTACGTAGACATACACTACCAGTCAAAAGTTTGGACACACCTACTCATCCAAGGGTCTTTCTTTATTCTTTACCTCTGCTGCAGAGGATAAGTTAATTAGAGTTACCAGCCCAAATAAATGCTTCACAGAGTTCAAGTCACAGACACATCTCAACATCAACTTCTCAGAGGGGACTGTGTGAATAAGGCCTTCATGGTCGAATTGCTGCAAAGAAACCACTACTAAAGGACACCAATAAGAAGAAGAGACCGGCTTAGGCCAAGAAACACGAGCAATGGACATTAGACTGGTAGAAATGTGTCCTTTGGTCTGGAGTCCAAATTGGAGATTTTTGGTTCCAACTGCCGTGTCTTTGTGAGACGCGGTGTGGGTGAACAGATGATCTCCGCATGTGTAGTTCCCACCGTAAAGTATGGAGGAGGAGGTGTTATGGTGTGGGGGTGCTTTGCTGGTGACACTGTCAGTGATTTATTTAGAATTCAAGGCACACTTAACCAGCATGGCTACCACAGCATTCTGCAGCGATACGCCATCCCATCTGGTTTGGGCTTAGTGGGACTATCATTTGTTTTTCAACAGGACAATGACCCAACACACCTCCAGGCTGTGTAAGGGCTATTTTACCAAGAAGAAGAGTGATGGAGTGCTGCATCAGATGACCTGGCCTCCACAATCCCCCGACCTCAACCCAATTGAGATGGTTTGGGATGAGTCGGACGGCAGAGTGAAGGAAAAGCAGCCAACAAGTGCTCAGCATATGTGGGAACTCCTTCAAGACTGTTGGAAAAACATTCCAGGTGAAGCTGGTTGAGAGAATGACAAGAGTGTGCAAAGCTGTCATAAAGGCAAAGGGTGGCTATTTGAAGAATCTCAAAAAAATATATATTTTGATTAGTTTTTTGGTTACTACATGATTCCATATGTGTTATTTCATAGTTTTAATGTCGTCACTATTATTCTACAATGTAAAAAATAGTAAAAATAAAGAAAAACCCTTGAATGAGTAGGTGTGTCCAAACTTTTGACTGGTACTGTACATCGATGCCCCAGAAACATGTTCACTCTAATACAAAATATTGTACTAATAAATCTGACACTTGCTGTCCCAAAAAACAATGACCTTTTTGTCTGACGATAAAAAAGTCCCCAAGGTAAATTATACTAATTATATTCCTCCCTAAATAGATTAGCATTTTAACATTTGCATATACATCTGCCCCAGACAGAAAATAAAGAGAACCCCATAACCCAGACACAAAGGAAATTGGACAAAGGGGATTATAACAAGGGGCTGTGAGATAGATAGATGCTGGGGTCTAGTTGGGTATGTTGGGTTACCTGGCTGATGGAAGTTGGGGGACAGTTCCCTGGCCACTGCCCTGGCGATGTCAGAGTCCTGACTGGCTGACTGACCGGCCTGGTCAGCAGCGTCACCTTTAGTCCTGGCGTGAGCCGTTCTGGATGAATGCAAAGCAGAATAAGAGCTGGTTAGATTGGGAAGGGTACATACCGGGGTTCAAATAGTATTTGTTTCCTTTTAAATACTTTGAGCGTTTGTTTGAGCATGTTGTTTGAGAGTGCAAGATCAGCAGGGTTTGGGACTATTCTATTGGTTTCATTGCTCCAGTCAAGCCCAATCAGACACAGCTAAATTATAACAAATATTTCAAATACTACTTGAAGCCAGGTCTAAGAGGGTGCAGAAGCACTGCATGCCTCTGGGCCTTCCAGACAGACACTGTCTTTAGTGGCTTATAGGGGGGAGAGCTCAGTGATGCTACAGTGTTCCCAATAAATCATGTTGGAGCAACAGCTTCTTCCAACATGAAATCATATTAGAAGTAGTTAGATAATTAAATAATACAAGTGAATGGTTATCATACAGTCTCACACTCTTAGCAGTAAAACAAATATTGCAAACACTATATGGTTTGACATGCCATATCCACTGTGTGATATTCTATAGAAAGCATTGTAATTCATCAAAACCATTATTTTTGTCATTTCTGATTAAACTTTTTTTCAACTTAGATACAGTGCATTCGGAAAGTATTCAGAGCCTTTGACTTTTTCCACATTTTGTTACATTACAGCCTTATTCTAAATTGATTAAATTATTTTTTTCCTACACACAGTACCCAATAATGACAAAGCGAAAACAGGTTTTTAGATTTTTTGGCACATTTATTAAAGATAAAAAACAGATACCTTATTTACGTAAGTATTCAGACCCTTTGCTATGAGACTCAAAAATGAGCTCAGGTGCATCCTGTTTCCATTGATCATCCTTAAGATGTTTCTTCAGCTTTATTGGAGTCCACCTGTGGTAAATTCAATTGATTGGACATGATTTGGAAAGGCACAAACCTGTCTATATAAGGTCCCACAGTTGACAGTGCATGTCAGAGCAAAAACCAAGCCATGAGGTCGAAGGAATGGTCCGTAGAGCTCAGAGATCTGGGGAAGGGTACCAAAGCAATTCTGCAGCATTGAAGGTCCCCAAGAACACAGTGGCCTCCATCATTCTTAAATGGAAGAAGTTTGGAACCACCAAGACTCTTCCTAGAGCTGGCTATCCGGCCAAACTGAGCAATCGGGGGAGAAGGGTCTTGGTCAGGGAGGTGACCAAGAACCCGATGGTCACACTCTGACAGAACTCCAGAGTTCCTCTGTGGAGATGGGAGAACCTTCCAGAAGGACAACCATTTCTGCAGCACTCCACCAATCAGGCCTTTATGGTGGAGTGGCCAGAAGGAAGCCACTTCTCAGTAAAAGGCACTTGACAGCCCGCTTGGAGTTTGCCAAAAAGGCATCTAAAGGACTCTCAGACCATGAGGAACAAGATTCTCTGGTCTGATGAAACCAAAATGGATCTCTTTGGCCTGAATGCCAAGTGTCACGTCTGGAGGAAACCTGGCACCATCCCTACGGTGAAGCATGGTGGTGGCAGCATCATGCTGTGGGGATGTTATTCAGCGGCAGGGACTGGGAGACTAGTCAGGAAAGATGAACGGAGCAAGGTACAGAGAGATCCTTGATGAAAATCTGCTCCAGATCGCTCAGGACCTCAGACTGGGGCGAAGGTTCACCTTCAAACAGGACAACGACCCTAAGCACACAGCCAAGACAATGCAGGAGTGGCTTCGGGACAAGTCTCTGAATGTCCTTGAGTGGCCCAGCCAATCTAACATCTCTGGAGAGACCTGAAAATAGCTGCGCAGCGACGCTCCCAATCCAACCTGACAGAGCTTGAAAGAGTCTGCAGAGAAGAATGGGAGAAACTCCCCAAATACAGATGTGCGAAGCTTGTAGCGTCATCCCCAAAAATACTCTAGGCTGTAATCACTGCCAAAGGTGCATTAACAAAGTACTGAGTCAAGGGTCTGAATACTTATGTAAATGTGATTTTTACGTTTTCTATTGTAATAAATTGCTACAATTTCTAAAAACCTGTTTTTGCTTTGTTGTTATGGGGTATTGTGTGTAGATTGATGAGGGATTTTTTCTTTTTACTCCATTTTAGAATAAGGCTGTAACATAACAAAATGTGGAAAAAGTCAAGGGTTTTGAATACTTTCCGAATGCACTGTATACACTATATATACAAAAGTATGTGAACACCCCTTCAAATTAGTGGATTCGGCTATTTCAGCCACACCCGTTGCTGACAGGTGTATAAAATCGAGCACACAGCCATGCAATCTCCATAGACAACCATTAGCAGTAGAGTAGCCTGTACTGAAGAGCTCAGTGACTTTCAACGTGGCACAGTCATAGGATGCCAAGTCAGTTCGTCAAATGTCTGCCCTGCTAGACCTGCCCCAGTCAACTGTAAGTGCTGTTTTTATGAAGTGGAAATGTCTAGGAGCAACAACGGCTCAGCCGCGAAGTGGTAAGCCACACAAGCTCACAGAACGGGACGGCCGAGTGCTGAAGCGCATAGCGCGTAAAAATCGTCTGTCCTCGGTTGCAACACTCACTACCGAGTTCCAAACTGCCTCTGGAAGCAACGTCAGCACAAGAACTGTTCGCCGGGAGCTTCATGAAATGGGTTTCCATGGCCGAGCAGCCGCACACAAGCCTAAGATCACCATGCGCAATGCCAAGTGTCGGCTGGAGTGGTGTAAAGCTCACCGCCATTGGACTCTGGAGCAGTGGAAACGTGTTCTCTGGAATGATGAATCACACTTCACCATCTGGCAGTCCAACGGACGAATCTGGATTTGGCGGATGCCAGGAGAATGCTACCTGCCCGAATGCATAGTGCCAACTGCAAATTTTGTTGGAGGAGGAATAATGGTCTGAGGCTGTTGTTCATGGTTCAGGCTAGTCCCCTTAGTTCCAGTGAAGGGAAATCTTAATGCTACAGCATATAATGACATTCTAGACGATTCTATGCTTCCATTTTATTGCAACAGTTTGTGGAAGGCCCTTTCCTGTTTCAGCATGACAATGCCCCTGTGCATAAAGCTTTGGTCCATACATAAATTGTTTATTGAGATCGGTGTGGAAGAACTTGACTGGCCTGCACAGAGCACTGACCTCAACCCCATCGAACACCTTTAGGATTAATTGGAACGCCGACTGCGAGTCAGGCCTAATCGCCCAACATCAGTGCCCAACCTCACTAATGCTCTTGTGGCTGAATGGAAGCAAGTCCCCATAGCAATGTTCCAACATCTAGTGGAAAGCCTTCCCAGCAGAGTGGAGGCTGTTATAGCAGCAAAGGGGGGACCAACTCCATATTAATGCCCATGATTTTGGAATGAGATGTTCGACAAGCAGGTGTCCACATACTTTTGGTCATGTAGTGTATGTGTTTGCATTCACTTCCTTTCTCTCAAGTAAAATCGTTTTTTCAAAACAAACCATTTACATGCAATGACATACGGAATACCATAATATACTTATTTATAATTATGATGATGTATTTCAATGGTACAATGACACAAAACCTTCAAGGTTAGTTCAATAGTGTTTCTTTATAAACAGCTCAATAAGAGGTAGTTGGTTTTACGTCTGTTTGTTTAAGTGTCCTTCAGGGACTCTGAATACAGAGGAGTGCAGGAGGATTCACACTGTGTCTCTTGAACTGAATGTATCCTTTCAACATCTTTGAGGTGTTCACTTTTCGAATTATGGTAGATAGAAATTAAAGTTTTACTTCAGACATGTTTGACACCGATGAAGCTCACAAAGACTAAACATTTGCTTTTTCAACCTTCAAGATTGTGGACCTTCTCTTTTTCAACTACTGACAATGAAAGCGCATTTCACCAACTTTAAGGGGCACATGAATACAGAACCTTAGTGTGCATTGAGGAGAGTTTGTATTATGTGCAATTGGCTTTGCCTCATGTAGACAGCTGACAGTCTCACAGACAGTGAATCATTGTGAATAAGGAGAACTTCATATGCATATAGTGTCGTTGTGCTGTTGAATGAATCATGCCATAACTCTGTTATAGAGAGAATTGTACGGATACTTACATAGTTACAATGAGGAGTACAACAAGTTGTAAGGGAGAGTGGGGTAAGTTCAGCCAAAGCGTAAGTTAAGCCAACCCTTGTTTCTAGGAAACCATACACAGAATTACTAATTTGACCAAATATTTAGGAAGATGTCATCATTTCATAGAGTCTGTGAAGGAAGAAACCACATGGGAAAAGTCCTAACCAAGTTTAGGTCCCCCCCAAAATAATTCACCAAGTCAAATTAATTTGTGTTAGAGGTTTCATGATGCTTGTATCTAAACCAAAGTAAATAATTTAAAGATTGTTCTATACATCAGTTGGGGACTCTATAAGCTTCAATATGAGGTCCTAAACCTAGCATCAAAGTGCATATTTGTAGCTGTGTGGGCTAATATAGTCTAAATGTTTGCCTTGGGGTAAGTTGAGCCAATGGCCATGTGGTAAATTTAGCAAATTGAAGTGTTTTTTTCCCAGGCGTAATGAAAGGGATTATCACTGGGACATAAGATAACACTCGGGCCTGTCCAAATACATTTGTAGGCAGCTCAACTTACCCTGTCCCTAGGCTCAACTTACCCCATAGCTGGGTAAGTTGTGCCAAGAGATAACTTTTTTTGGACAAGCTATGTTTTCTAAACTCTAATGTTTACATGAAATCAGATTATTTCCAGGGATAGACAACATTCTGAAATATATGTAGATATCTTTGTTAGAAAGAATACTATATTTCCCTTGGCGGAGTGATGCTGAATGTAAAAATAGGCTTAACTTACCCCACTATCCCATACTCATATTATTATCATCATGGAGTCATGATACGATTTAATGTGGGCTTCCTTAAAGCTTTGAAGCCTGTGAGCATAGGCTATACTACATCACATGGCTTGGGGAGAAAAGAGAGCGAGCGAGGTCACATTGAAAAAAGGCAACTTAAACCAAGTTTAAGAAACTTTACTGGAAGCTTGTTAGCAAGTCTAAGGAAAGTTCTGAGGAAAGGTGTGATAAACAAACTCTCCAACACCTAGTCCCAACCAGATAGACTGAGTAGTCCACCAGATGATAGTGGGTGGTGGGACAGAGATGGGCTAATGTATCAGCTCAGCTGCTGCTGTATTCCTGTAAGCTGTTGATAAGCCAAGTCCTGCCTTGCCTTATTTAGTCAGAGCTCAGTGCTGACTGACACACTAGAGGCTGTTGGCCTCACATGTGAGCAGGGCATAGCTAGCACACACCTCTACTCCCTCCCTCCTTTGCTCCCCTGGGCTTCCACCCAGATGACGGAAAAGTGACGCAAGCCGAACCCAGTCCGCACTTTCCAAAGCTCTTACCACACTTATCAACTCAGACACATAACAGTCTTCAAAGACTGACCTTAATTTTAGACATTCTGCCACTGAGGGACACATTTCTATTTCATGACAGGAGGAGTTGTTGTGGTGGTGAGATATGAGAGCCTAGATATGAGAGCCCTCATTAAAATTCATACAGATGCCAGAAAATCAGGATAAAGAACATGCTAATGAGTGGTTCTCATCAGATAAGAAGATTATGAGGAAAGGGGGGATGGGTGGGCAGGATATGGCAATAAAGTGACTATTTTGATACTTTAAATAAATATGGGTGGGTGTTTTACATGGTAGGATATCATTTAATCTCTGTGCATTGCATTCAGTAAGGGATAATCAATGAGGGTCTATGTGTTCTCTGGAAAAGAATGCACAATGTGGAAGGTGTGTTCCACCATGCATTAGCGGAGTGGAACTAACCTTCCACGGAGTTGCATTATTTTCCAGAGAATGCATAGAGCCCTGAGTTGATTACCCCTTTTATACCATGGCTATAAATAATAAACATATTTGCCTCTAGAAATGTATTCATTTGCCAGTAGAAATGTGACAACATCCACTGAAGTAGCTAGTAAGTTTACTATCTAGCTACAGTAGTTGCCTTGGTAACCAAACAAACAGACTTGTTAGCTTAGCTAACCAAACCATCATCTTAGCTTGCTATTATGAAAATCGAATTCAACAATGCCAATAATGTTTTTAATTCGACTTTTGCTTTCAAAAGCAGCTCAAAAATAGAACATGTAAGAATGAACTTCATAGCCATTGAATTATATCGTGCAATTATACCGCACGTTATAGGAAAATACTGTACGCAAGAGAATGCCCTTCAAGCCATTGCACCTAAATATAAACAGTACCAGCACCCAAAATGAGTACCGGAACCTATTTCAGTCCAGGTCAAGCACTGATAAGAAGCATATTTTATGACGTTTCCACTGGATCAGAGCAAGACATTTTTCCCTTTCACGCTGAGAGGTTATCGAAAGGGAGAGAGCTGGAAAGATTTTTCAAATACATTGATGAACTATTGTAATTCTCAATGGATGTAAAAACAGACTTTGTTTGCTTGCTGTTTGAGGTGAAGAAAACATTACTTTGATAAGCTCCACGGGTCATTAGTGGTGGTGCGTTAAGCCAATCAGAAATACTATCAGATCCCCAAATGGGCACATTTATATGCCTACATTTGCGCACAGGCCAGGTAGCCTATAGGCCTACTTCTACGCGTGCGCGTCCTTACTCAACATTGACAGGAGCGCTCCAAACAAAAGACAATGACTAAATCGACAGAACTCGTAAATGGAATTAAATAAACCAAAACTTGTTTCTCACAAGTGTTGCATAGGTTGTGCACTCTGCAAACAATGTGTCCACTCCGACAGTGAGAACAGGAAGACTGAAATAATAATATTGAATGTATTAAAATAAATGACCGTAACCAAAGTAACAAACATTGTAGATTAGAAATTATAGGAATGAACGGTAAATGTACTACTGGTGATATACGTAATGGAAAATTGATATACACTAACAATCAAATGCAAACAATTCACACAATGAAGTTATGAAACAATGAATGTGCACATATTGGAAGGAGAGAGCGCATTCTGGAGAGTGCATTGTGCATCTGGGCGCATGGTCAATCTGACGTCTGCATTGGCCATGCAGCATTTACAGTGATATGGCCCCAGCAGAAGTCAGGGCATTCATACTTATTGCGCTTCGCAGAACAGTGCAGAGCTGTTGTCAAGGAAGTGAGTTTGTGTTCATACAGGATGTACTGCCTCTACCTACCGTCAACCAATCATGTCAATGCGGAGCTATACAGAGCCCTCCGCATTGTTACAAAATTTGGGAGGCGCATGGCGATGCAGTACAGACCTCGATTTGGCCTCTGCATGCCTCTGGAGGCGCCACAATTGCGTCACACCCTCCATATGGAGCCCTCAACCACATTTTCGAATCAAGCATAAATTGGCTTTTAGTCTCCGCAATGGATTAGTTCACTGAGATGGGCGCAAATATATATATACGTAAGTGTCCTGATTAGTGTATATATATTTGTTACTGCTCAATTAAAACAATCTTGGTCGACCAACAGCCTAACGACCAAACAATTGACCAGTCGACTAATTGGGGTCAGCCCTAGTTGACAGTCAACATTGTTGTCACGCCCTGGCCGTAGAGATCACCTGTATTCTCTGTTTGGTTAGGTCAGGGTGTGATTTGGATACATTCTAGTGTATCTATTTCTATGTTGGCCGGGTGTGGTTCCCAATCAGAGGCAGCTGTCGATCGTTGTCTCTGATTGGGGATCATACTTAGGCAGCCATTTTGCCTACCTATGTTGTGGGATCTTATTTCTGTTTCGGCTTGTTGCTGTTAGCCTTTAGAACTTCACGTTCAGTTGCTTTTGTTATTTTGTCAAGTGTTTATTTAAATAATTAAAACATGTACGCATACCACGCTGCACCTTGGTCCAATCATTTACACAACGAACGTGACAGAAGATCCCACCACCAACGGACTAAGCAGCGTGACCAGGAGGAGCAGACACCCTGGACACAGGTGGGGAAGACATTTTGGACATGGGAGGAGATATTAGCCGGTAAAGGACCCTGGGCGAAGGAAGAAGCCAAGGCAGGAGAGGATCAACGGCGACGCCGACGGTGCCGACCGCGAAGGAAGCACGAGAGGCAGCCCCATGAAATATTTTTTGGGGGGGCACACGGAGTAGAAGGAGGCCCTGAAAGGGCTGACTGTGAAGGAAGAGGAGGCTGCTATTATAGAGGCCCTCCAAGACATGCAGCTCAGCACTCTGAGAGAGGAGATAACTACCTTACGGGGGCTGTTAGCTAAGAGAGAGCAGGAGAGCTCCCTTCAGAGGGAGGCGCTGCAGGAGGCCCACAGGGAGAAGGAGTCAGTGGATGCACGGAGAGAGGAGCTGGCCAGACAACAGGAGGAGCTGAGAGAGGAGTTAACCCTCCAGCAGCAGAGAGCTCAGTCCTTAGAGCAGAGGCTGGTGGAGCCAGGTTTCAGAACAGAGCCAACTCCCCGCACTCGCTTTGAGGAGCGGGTGACCGTGCAGGCACCAGGCTATGCGCTAGCTTTACGCACTGTGCCGCCAGTGCGCCTTCACAGACCGGTACGGCCCGTGCCTGCTCCTCGCACCAAACCAGTGGTGTGTGTCGCCAGCCCGGTACGCCCCATACCTGCTCCTCGCACCAAACCAGTGGTGCGTGTCTCCAGTCCTGTACGGCCCGTACCTGCTCCTCGCACCAAACCAGTGGTGCGTGTCGCCAGCCCGGTACGCCCCATACCTGCTCCTCGCACCAAACCAGTGGTGCGTGTCTCCAGTCCTGTACGGCCCGTACCTGCTCCTCGCACCAAACCAGTGGTGCGTGTCGCCAGCCTGGTGCACCCCGTACCTGCTCCTCGCACCAAACCAGTGGTGCGTGTTACCAGCCCAGTGTGCCCCGTACCTGCTCCTCGCACCAAACCAGTGGTGTGTTTCTCCAGTCCTGTACGGCCCGTACCTGCTCCTCGCACCAAACCAGTGGTGCTTGTCGCCAGCCCGGTGCGCCACGTACCTGCTCCTCGCACCAAACCAGTGGTGCGTGTCCCCAGCCCGGTACGGCCCATGCCTGCTCCTCGCACTAAACCAGTGGTGCGTGTCTCCAGTCCTGTACGGCTCGTACCTGCTCCTCGTACTAAACCAGTCGTGTGTGTCACCAGCCCGGTGCGCCCCGTACCTGCTCCTCGCACCAAACCATTGGTGCGTGTCCACAGCCCAGTGCGTCATGGGCCAGCGCCCCGCACTTGCCGGGCTCCAGTGATGATCCATGGCCCGAAGCCTCCAGTGATGATCCATGGCAGGAAGCCTCCAGTGATGATCCATGGCACGAAGCCTCCAGTGATGATCCATGGCACGAAGCGTCCAGTGATGATCCATGGCCCGGAGCCTCCTGCGACGGTCAGCTGCTCCACTCCAGTGCCAGAGCAGTCCGCTCCACCGGTGCCTAGTCCAGCTCCGGTCAGCTGCTTCACTCCAGTGCCAGAGCAGTCCGCTCCACCGGTGCCTAGTCCAGCTCCGGTTATCTGCTCCCTACCAGAGCCGGGGCAGTCCGCATCACCGGTGCCCAGTCCGGGTCCAGTTGTCTACTCTTCCCCCATGCCGGAGCCATCCACTCCACTGGGGTCCGAGCCGGAGCCAGACGTCAACCCCTCTCCAGGGTCGGGGTCTCCCACACCAGGGTCCAGACAGGACTTGGTGCATCGCGGGAGGACTGCTGGGCCGGGACCAGACGTCAGCCCCTCTCCAGGGTCGAGGGCTCCTACACCAGGGTCCAGACAGGACTTGGTGCATCGCGGGAGGACTACTGGGCCGGGACCAGACGTCAGCCCCTCTCCAGGATCGAGGGCTCCCACACCAGGGTCCAGACAGGACTTGGTGCATCGCGGGAGGACTGCTGGGCCGGGACCAGACGTCAGCCCCTCTCCAGGGTCGAGGGCTCCCACACCAGGGTCCAGACAGGGCTTGGTGCATTGTGGGAGGACTGAGAGGGGGAGCATCGCACCGGGGTCCAGACCGGACCGGGCGTGCAAAGGGGAGGCAGGATGGGAGAAGAGTTTACTGCCTACGTCACGTCCGAAGCCGGTGCCCACCCGGACCCTCCCCTAATGAGTCAGGTTTTTGCGGTCGGAGTCCGCACCTTTGGGGGGGGGGGTACTGTCACGCCCTGACCTTAGAGATCACCTGTATTCTCTGTTTGGTTAGGTCAGGCTGTGATTTGGATACATTCTAGTGTATCTGTTTCTATGTTGGCCGGGTGTGGTTCCCAATCAGAGGCAGCTGTCGATCGTTGTCTCTGATTGAGGATCATACTTAGGCAGCCATTTTGCCTACCTATGTTGTGGGATCTTGTTTCTGTTTCTGTTTAGGCTTGTTGCCTTTAGAACTTCACGTTCAGTTGCTTTTGTTATTTTGTCAAGTGTTTATTTAAATAATTAAAACATGTACGCATACCACGCTGCACATTGGTCCAATCCTTTACACAACGAACGTTACAATTGTTGTAATTGGCTTCAACCAGTATAGGCCTTTACACATCTCACTTCTCCTCAAATAAAAAATACTTGGCTCCGGTAAATTCTATTGTATCTGTAATTCTCGCTATTTTGATCACCACAGTATGTATCAAATTATTCCAGTGTAGCATTGGGCCACTGTTTGAACTCACCATGTACTGCAGTTCATCATCTGTGCCACGTGCAAAACGTGTGTGTGTGTGTGTGTGTGTGTGTGAGGGAGAGGTAGTGAGAGTGAGTAAAAGGGACAGAGAAAGAGAGAGGCAGAGAGCAAGTGAGTGAGAGAAAGAGTTGGAGAAAGATGGAGAATGTTGTAGAGAGATGGGAGACATAGGATGAGGTGACACCAATAAAAACCTGACCCCTCGTTGAGAATCCCAACCTGTCAGCCATTCAACTTAACCCAATCAGCAGACCTGACCTGGAAACGCATGCAGCAGTAGGATTCTTTACCACCAACAACACCACAACATGGGCTGTGTCCGAAATGGCACCCTATTCCCCATATGGAAAAGTCTAAACGGGATCCTTGGGATGTCCCAACTCTGATGACATCCCATTGAAGTTTACATTTAAAACGGTTAAGGTAAGGGTTAAGGTTAGGGAAGGGTTAGGGTTTAGGGTAAGGACTTCCCAAGGATTCCAGATAGCACTAACCTTCTCCATATAGTGCACTACTTCTGACCAGGGCCCATAAGGCTCTAGTCAAAAGTTGTCCACTGTATAGGAAATAGGGTGTCAATTCAGACGCAACCATGCAAATTGAGAAACTGATTACCTTGAAGTGGCTATTTCTACTTTTGTTCTGGCAATAGCTGCTGCCCGTATGGCTCCTTCCACAGCCCGATCCACTTTCTGTTTAGTTTTGGTGTTTTTGAGAGGAATGAGCTGCTTCTTGATGCTTCGCACCAACACATTGTTTTTATACTTCCCCTCTTCTTTGGTGCCATCTGGGAACATTGTGCATCCGTAGCCGTGGCGTTTGTTGTTCATCCACTCGCCCTCGTACTTCATCCCGTTGGTACGCTCGCTGACACCAAAGCCGTTCCGCTTGTCATTCTTCCACTCCCCCATGTAGGACTCTGTGGTGGTGGCGTCTACATTGTCCTCCAGGGGCATGTACTCATCAACTCCATCCCCAAAGCTGATGGTGGAGTTGGCATCACTAGAGCTGATTCGGCTGATGGAGCTGGCGGCATCGCTGCGGGCAGAGCTGCGTTTGCTCGATATGGACGACCTGGAGTCTGACTTTCTGAGGTTCCTGAGGCTGCCGAACAGGGACCCTCTACGAAACAGGCCCTTTTTCTTCTCACCTTCACCTTCACTGTGGAAGTTGAGAACAAAGCCTCCTCTGGTGCCGGCAGGGCTGTCTGACAGGTCGAGGTTGGCATGGAGGACGGTGCCATTGCTCTGTTCGCTGCGGAGCGAGGCCAGCGAGGTTCGGAGAGGTGAGCGAATAACCGTAGCCATCCCGTAAGGCACACTTTGTCTCACACCGTATCCGTGTCGCATTCCTCCTGTCCATTGCCCCTGGTATGTACCTGTTAGGACAACAAAAAATGCCAAGAATGAATACAAACGTTAAGAAAATCATGAACGTTAATTTTTTTCATGATCACAGAATAATCATTTGGCGTACAACATTTGAATATTAGAGTTGATTAGAAAATCTATTTACACTGGGCCAATGTCAATTCAAGGAATTTAAGTGGAAAACATATCTACAAGTCCATAATATCCCTACTATATTGGGAACTTTTCATTGAATGGATTAAAATCACATCCAATACCTAATCTTACCCAGGGACTGTGATTCTGCTGTCAGTCAGACAGAGCTGTATGTTTCCAAATCACATACAAGATACCACGTTCATGACGAGATTCATATTTCAGTCTTTGTTTGTGTCATGATTTATTATCACTTCATCATTTGCTATTAATATACTCCTGGCATTATGCCAAACCAGGCAGTCTTTAGTCGTGTCTACATTTGACACTTACATGTGACTTCTGCTATCAGAATACGAAGATCGTATTGAAAAGACGGGTCTAGACCAATGTTCCCTCAACATTTTTTGGCACTGACAAAATGTCAGGTCTGCTGAGCGCAAACTTGAATGTTGTGAGAATTCTCTGCAACTTCTGGCGCGCGTTTAATGTGAACAGTGAACACTGAGGCTATACCTGCTTTAACTTACTGTTTTAACAGTGGCCAAGTAGGCTACTGTGGCTATTTGATCATAATGTAGGCCTACCAGAGTGGCCTACCATCTAGCCAGCTAGCTAATATTTAGAAAAAATATGTTTTGTTTGGCTAGAGTTATGCTAACCCGTTTGCAATCCCTTTACATTGCTTGCTAGCTTGCTGGCTAGTTTGCTACAGTAGTTAGCTACTGCCAACAGTAGTTGTGTTATTATCATATTTTGCCTATTCCACCATTTGTAGAATGCATACTGGCATTTGAATATAGAGTGGGAAAAGGGAATCCAGACACACTGTGGACACAGTAGACACATTTAAATGTAGGTGTAGATGCACGTTTGGAATTCCATGATCTGAACTCTATGATCAGAATACTAAAGCTGCATGAACTGTCAAGTCTAGACACGGCCTTTATGGCAGTAGACATACTAGACAAACATAGGCTACCACTTGTACATAATTTAAGTTATGTACCAGTGGTGTGCTGCATTGTTTGTTTAGGTTATGGAAAGGTGGCAAGAATGAAGTCATTACTATGTAGTGCACTTATCTATGATTAGATTGGGCCTATTGAGGTCCTAATCTGTTAGCCTTAAAATATTTTCTAAGATGAGCTCCCACCCACAGTAACAACCTGTCCTGCAACAGGTCGTGGCATGGAGATCAGGAGGGACTGGGAAGTGTAGGCTACTCATTCTACACCCAATCCCAAATCAACCACTAGACCCTATGCCCTATGTACTACCATTTTATTGGTATTGAAGCAATGTAGTGAAACTTCCACCTAGCCTATCAGAGGGCAAGTTGGAGCTATTAGCATATAGCTTACACCTATCAAATCCTCTGCTATCCCCACAAGTGCATAGGGATCTAGGGGTTGATTTGGCATTCCTTATGCCTCTTGCACACAGTATCCATTGGAAGAACTGCAGTTCGGCAGAAGTCACTAATCTCAAACAGCGCTCAGGTGGAAGTAAAACAACGCTGTCACACTAACAGTAACGTTGAACACACCACCATAGCACTAACTGACCTGACATCCTCACAACCTCAGTTGACACTCCAACTGTATTTTTGGCATTCAGATATTTGTTTGAAGGTGGAAGTGCAAAATACTTCAAAACCTCCCACCATAATTGTCATATCTCAAGCCTTCCCACCATTTCAGCGGCTAAAGGGGGTCTACATTTCTAAATGCATACTGCATTCTGGTGTGCACTCAAGGCGATATGCCACTCTGTCCATCATAGCTTCCACAGAGAAGAATGTGCTATTTGAAAAGATGGAAGTAACTTGAGACATTGGGAAGTTTGTTGGTCAAGCCAAATATAACTCCATCTATCTTGCTATGTGAAATGAATCAGTCTAAACACAATTAGGTTACTGAACAAAATCACTCTGAACACATTAGGAGGATAGATTAGGGCACATTTTGTCAGTGACTAGTATTTATATTTCGTTGAGTGACACTCCCACTGATTCCTAAGCTGACTGATCCTATGCTGACTCAGGTACCCAGGGGCGTCAATTGGGTATGGCAGTCATACCCTAGCTCAACACCAACAATTTAAAATAGGCGAATAAAATCATTCCAATCCTGATTAAAAGGCTAATGCAGTTTATCAGTATTAACAGACTGACTTTAGGACCATGCGGACGCCTGGGAGCTGGAGGGAAGGCTGGCTAGCTTTATGGAGAGCGCATCGACGCAGCTGCAGTGAACAGCGCAACTTTTTCTTAAAGCAGTGGAGGAAGGGGAGGACCATCCTCCTCAGTGAATTTCATAAAAATTAAAATGGTAAAACATTAAAAAAGTTATCCTTTTTAGATAAAACTATACTAAATATATTCACGTCACCAAATAATTGATTAAAACACACTATTTTGCAATGAAGGTCTACAGTAGCCTCAACAGCACTCTGTAGGCTAGCACCGTGGTGTAGCCGGAGGACAGCTAGCTTCCGTCCTCCTCTGGGTACATTGACCATAATACAAAACCTAGGAGGCTCATGGTTCTCATCCCCTTACATAGACATACACAGTAATTATGACAACTTCCGGAGGACGTCCTCCAACCTATCAGAGCTCTTGCAGCATGAACTGACATGTTGTCCACCCAGTCAAAGGATCAGAGAATGAATCCAGTACTGAAAGCATAAGCTACAGCTAGCTAGCACTGCAGTGCATAAAATGTGGTGAGTAGTTGACTCAGAGAGAAAGAAAATAGTTGAACAGTTTTCAACAAATTAATTTCTTCCAAGAGGAAGGAGAAGCAAGAGAGAGAGAAATTTCGTCATTTTTTTTCACTTTCAGTATTACTTACTAGTTTAGCCTACTCAAACACCCTGCTCAAACATAGGGATGCTTTGTTAGCTAGCTGGCTATGACTATCCAACACAACACTGGAACTCTTCCAAGTCAAGGTAAGCTTTTGGTTGTACTAATTTATTGCCACTGGGGCCCGCCGGTGTAAGTGATAAACTGCTTACTGACTGTACACTGTAACGTTACTGCATGATTGTAGCGGTTTACTAACGCGTTAGTTCTATTAGCTATGTTGACTATGATGTTATTTTAGCGAATATGGTGACAACAATGTAGGCTGCGTGTAGCGGTTATGATATGGTTTGTCTTGGAACTTTTTTTTTGGCCTGGTCACATACAGCTGATGTGTTGTGCATTGAAGTCCACAAGCGAAGGGAAAAGGTGAGAGGAGGAGAGCGCATAGATGTGAGAAGGAATACAACGTGGTTACTATGAAAGTGAACTGTGTTTACGCGTGATCAGGGGTGTATTCATTCCGCCGATTCTGTTGAAAAACGTTTCTTAAACGGAAGCAAATGGAACGAAACAAAGATAAGCATTCCTGAATTTGTCCAATAGAAACTCTCCTTTGCAACTGTTGGACTAATGATTACACCCAAGATCAGCTAGATGCAGGCAAGAGTGTGCAAGGCGGTATTGAATGTGTCACTGTCTGTCATCTCAAATTTTTATCTCGACCTGTGTGCACCTACGTTGTAAACTTTCATTCATAGGCTAGGTTGTAGCAACCTCATGATGGGTATAGGGAAAATTCTAGTATCATGCAGTAGCCTAAACCTATCGCTGTTACATTGAACTGGGTGAATGGAATTTGAATGACAGTCATCCAAAATGCTGTAATAGAAATATGGCCATGCTCATGGAAAAAAAGTGTCCTCCCTCATCTTAAAAGGCACCGACCGCCACTGGTGCAGAGGTAAAGATAGCTGTAGTAGATGGCTTTGGCTAGGCAACTGTTGTTTGACTTGACATGAAACTAAACTAGAGTTTTAATCCCGGTGCTGAGCTAGTGCGTAGCAGCTAATTCTTGTATGACATGTGTTTGTAGAATGTTAAGTCCTCCATTGACTAAGGTGAATGAAGCTACAACAACAAGGTAATAATGTCTTGAGACAATTTTGCTTGTTTTTGCTGTTCTCCAAATTGCATTTTAAATTTTTAAAATTTTGTAGAAATGCAGTAAATGCGCTTCAATTTGATAAAAAATCCTCCACTGTCACTTTTCCATACCCTAGGTTTCGCTGAAATGATGCCCCTGCAGGTACCTCTCGCTGCTTCAGACTGTCAGAAACAGTGAATGTTTCTCTTTACAATTTGAACCAGTGAGTGACACATATGAGAGTACTAGACCCCAAGCACAAAAGAAAGCACTAGAAGCCAAGCTTGCCCAGGGGGAACCGGCTAATGAAGCTTGCTCAGGTGTAGTTGGATCTGGCCCTCAGTCTGAAATCAATGTTCACTTTATCTTCTGCAAATCCAGCCCTCAGACTACAATCAATGTCCACATTATCTTTGGCAAATCGAATTATTATGTTATTTGTTTATTATGCCACAGTATCTATTGATTATCACACTTCATGTGAAGTAAGATATCGTGGTGTGTTTTTAATGATCTATTAACATATATTGAATTTCCTACAATCCATTATTGCTTTCCCCTGTATTAATCAATATATAAAACCATATCAATCAATGCTATGAGTCACCAAAAAGTAGATTTTTATCTCTGGAATAGATATAATCTACAAGCTATATGCATCTGTGTGTGTATGACTATGGTTGTGTGCCCTGACATTACAACCTCATCACCACTTGTGTCTCAAACTCAATCTTTGAATGTTTTTTTGTTTAGTTTTTAACTCTAAAACGACTTTCTATAGAAACTACTGTACACTCAATTCCCATATGGCAACAAATGAACGAAGATCAATACAATAGGTAGTCCTTTGATTTTCAAGTGTGGCTGAGCGATGTTTCTATTTTTAGCCATGACCTCTATGGGAGTGCTCAGTGCTGACTGACCAGTCCAGTCTATATCAATAGAGCTCAGTGGTGTGGCACTGGCACATAGTTCAGGCAGGCTTCTCTACTCTATCACACTTTGATACAACTGAATTGCTGAACAACATTTGTGCCCCCTGCTACACTGTAACAAGCGAGACTGCTCTTTCAAACGGCATTACATGTACTAACCATAAACTGTTAATGGCACGCTTACCTCCATCACCATACGTTTCAACTCCATATCCATCTTGCAGACCGTTACTCCATGTCCCATCGTATCTGGCAGGCGTGTGGAGACTTTGCCGGACCCCGTATCTACCTTTCAATCCATGAGTCCATTCGCCACGATAAATCCATCTTCCCTTCGATTCCACACCGAGTCCGTGTCGTTTCCCCTGTGCCCAGTAGCCCTGATACACGTTTCCACTGGGCCAGGTGTACACCCCCACTACCTCGAAACCATTGTTCCAGGACCCGGAGTATTCGCCTTGGCCCTTGGGCCCGGTACAGACGCCATGTCCATGGGCTTTCCCATCCTCCCAGCCACCGCAATATGTGCCACCATCGTCAAAGTCGAACCGTCCGCCCGTCATTCAGATGATGAGGGGAGAATAACGAGTCGTGGTAGCTGCCCAATATCGTGCTGTCCCTCGCGAGTCCAGAGCGGATTTTAAAAGAAAAGTAGGAGCGCTGAAGTGAGAGTCCGGTGGATTCTGTGGTCGCAGTGAGGTGTTGTGGTTCAAAGCAGGGATGAATGATTGTCACTGTGTGCATTTGTGGTTGTCGGCTAAAGCGGTACGTGGGAGGGAGAGAGAGAGAGCGCCACTACCGCTGCCAGAATAGCGCCTGGTTTATTTTATGATTCTCTCTCTCTCTCTCTCTCTCTCTCTCTCTCTCTCTCTCTCTCTCTCTCTCTCTCTCTCTCTCTCTCTATTATTTTATGATTCTCTCTCTCTCTCTCTCTCTCTCTCTCTCTCTCCCCCCCTCCCCTGAGAGAGGGAGAGTTGATCTGTAGTTCTAAATCCATCGAGATCAACCTGTTCATCCATTAATTGATTGATTAATTACAATAATTGTCAAAATCCTCAATAACCCTTGATTGAATTGAGCTTTTCTGAAAATGTAGCTGTTAGATTTGGGAGATAATGACATGGAAATGCCATGACGTGGCATTCAAAAAGTGAAATTATATCTGCTGTTATATTGGTTTCAAAGTTACATCGATGGTAACTACAGACTAACCCTGCTTGATATTTTCTTATTGCTTCTAGTATTGGTATCATTAGGTAGGCTAATCAAATTGAGGTGTTCTGTGTGTAAACTCTGAGTGTTAAACCCATAGACATAGAATCCCTCATTCTAGTGCTATGGTTATAGACCCCCTAATCATTCAGTTTACCGTGTGGAATCAGTGTTAATTGACTGCTGATAAATGACAATATGATTATATGAATCTCAACAGTCAGATAAAAGACGTTGAACTGGCCAGTGGTGGTGGTAGCAATCATAAAGTAGTAGCTAAATATTAATTTGAGCCTGCTTCTCACAGCAGGAAACAGTCAATGTGAATTATTATGTGGATTATAATTAATGTACAGTTTTGTAGGGGTTGATACATTTTTCGTTAGGGCAAGTCAAGTCTGACATTTTAAAGTGGAAATTACAAACTTTAGAAGCCGTTTTAAATCTTGAATACAATAGAATTTGCATTTCCTGCTGTGCAGGAAAATTCTCTATGACAACAGTGATCAAATTAAGATAGCAGATCTGTAAACAGAGATAAAACTCATGTACTGACTGATTATAAGACAACAGTGACATCTACTGAGCACTACTTATCCTGCAGCATTGTACATGAATCAGGACATTGATGGGTGTTGGACTAATGTTTTTTGGTCAGAAGAAGTCAGAAGTCATTATTTTTGAATATCTCAAATACATTATGAATAGGGTACAAAACCTGCTATACTTTTTGACCATATTGGCTCTAAAAGCTTTGGGACACCCCTGTTAATAAATGGAATTTGTAGCCTATATAGGAAGGACGTGGCAACAGGCAGGTCTCACCACTGGGTGTCAGTGTACACATTGTTAATCTGCATTGCAAAGACAGTAGCTCTTCAATAGGATAAGAGCGTCTGCTAAATGACTAAAATGTATTTTTTTTAAATGTTTGTACATGTTACAACAATAATATGTTGATTGAATATGAATCTGTGGAAGAAATCATGAAGTAGACTCTTCGGCATGATGTACAGTACCATGTCAAATAATATACATACAAATGTATTTAATTATCAAATCATTTACTGTGGTGTCCATTTTTGCCACACACACCCTCTTTACCTTCTTCAGTGAAGGTGTTGGCTTTAGTTACATCACTAGAACTGAATCCACGCTACTTTGTAGGGTCTACAGACCCCTACAGACTGTATTACTACAGAGTACAGCTCTCTACATCAGGAGGTGAGGACATGCTGGCCAACAATAACACCAGCTGAGCGATTATGAGAAAACAACAAACTAAGTGTAACTGATATGAGCTTGGCAAGCAATTCGTTCAAGCAATTTATTTTTATTTTTACTTTTTTACTTTTTTTAGGGGGTAGATCAGCTTTAATATTGCAGATAGATTGTAACTTCCATCAATGTAATTGTCTGCATCACTTCCAATCCCCCATATGTATTTTTTTCTCGCATATACAGTGGGGGAAAAAAGTATTTAGTCAGCCACCAATTGTGCAAGTTCTCCCACTTAAAAATATGAGAGAGGCCTGTAATTTTCATCATAGGTACACGTCAACTATGACAGACAAATTGAGAAATTTTTTGTTTCCTGTAGGTCTTGACCAGGTTTGCACACACTGCAGCAGAGATTTTGGCCCACTCCTCCATACAGACCTTCTCCAGATCCTTCAGGTTTCGGGGCTGTCGCTGGGCAAAACTGACTTTCAGCTCCCTCCAAAGATTTTCTATTGGGTTCAGGTCTGGAGACTGGCTAGGCCACTCCAGGACCTTGAGATGCTTCTTACGGAGCCACTCCTTAGTTGCCCTGGCTGTGCGTTTCGGGTCGTTGTCATGCTGGAAGACCCAGCCACGACCCATCTTCAATGCTCTTACTGAGGGAAGGAGGTTGTTGGCCAAGATCTCGCGATACATGGCCTCATCCATCCTCCCCTCAATACGGTGCAGTCGTCCTGTCCCCTTTGCAGAAAAGCATCCCCAAAGAATGCTGTTTCCACCTCCATGCTTCACAGTTGGGATGGTGTTCTTGGGGTTGTACTCATCCTTCTTCTTCCTCCAAACACGGCGAGTGGAGTTTAGACCAAAAAGCTCTATTTTTGTCTCATCAGACCACATTACCTTCTCCCATTCCTCCTCTGGATCATCCAGATGGTCATTGGCAAACTTCAGACGGGCCTGGACATGCGCTGGCTTGAGCAGGGGGACCTTGCGTGCGCTGCAGGATTTTAATCCATGACGGCGTAGTGTGTTACTAATGGTTTTCTTTGAGACTGTGGTCCCAGCTCTCTTCAGGTCATTGACCAGGTCCTGCCGTGTAGTTCTGGGCTGATCCCTCACCTTCCTCATGATCATTGATGCCCCACGAGGTGAGATCTTGCATGGAGCCCCAGACCGAGGGTGATTGACCGTCATCTTGAACTTCTTCCATTTTCTAATAATTGCGCCAACAGTTGTTGCCTTCTCACCAAGCTGCTTGCCTATTGTCCTGTAGCCCATCCCAGCCTTGTGCAGGTCTACAATTTTATCCCTGATGTCCTTACACAGCTCTCTGGTCTTGGCCATTGTGGAGAGGTTGGAGTCTGTTTGATTGAGTGTGTGGACAGGTGTCTTTTATACAGGTAACGAGTTCAAACAGGTGCAGTTAATACAGGTAATGAGTGGAGAACAGGAGGGCTTCTTAAAGAAAAACTAACAGGTCTGTGAGAGCCGGAATTCTTACTGGTTGGTAGGTGATCAAATACTTATGTCATGCAATAAAATGCAAATTAATTACTTAAAAATCATACAATGTGATTTACTGGATTTTTGTTTTAGATTCCGTCTCTCACAGTTGAAGTGTACCTATGATAAAAATTACAGACCTCTACATGATTTGTAAGTAGGAAAACCTGCAAAATCGGCAGTGTATCAAATACTTGTTCTCCCCACTGTATATATATATATACATACCCTTTAAAAAAAGTATATTTCCCTTTATTACTTTCCAACCCCACCACCCCTTCCCTAATTGGAGTAAACTAGTGAACAACAACGCTTAGGCCTCTACTTCCAGCTTATACATACTGTATACATTTTATGGACACAGTCAATTTTACAATAATTCTATTTAGTTTGTTTTTACTCCTGAACTTCCTCTACCCTCAACCTCTCCGATCATTTTCATGATGTCCATCTGGTTTGCTTCTACAGTGGGGAAAAAAAAGTATTTAGTCAGCCACCAATTGTGCAAGTTCTCCCACTTAAAAAGATGAGAGAGGCCTGTAACTTTCATCATAGGTACACGTCAACTATGACAGACAAATTGAGATTTTTTTTTACAGAAAATCACATTGTAGGATTTTTTATGAATTTATTTGCAAATTATGGTGGAAAATAAGTATTTGGTCACCTACAAACAAGCAAGATTTCTGGCTCTCACAGACCTGTAACTTCTTCTTTAAGAGGCTCCTCTGTCCTCCACTCGTTACCTGTATTAATGGCACCTGTTTGAACTTGTTATCAGTATAAAAGACATCTGTCCACAACCTCAAACAGTCACACTCCAAACTCCACTATGGCCAAGACCAAAGAGCTGTCAAATGACACCAGAAACAAAATTGTAGACCTGCACCAGGCTGGGAAGACTGAATCTGCAATAGGTAAGCAGCTTGGTTTGAAGAAATCAACTGTGGGAGCAATTATTAGGAAATGGAAGACATACAAGACCACTGATAATCTCCCTCGATCTGGGGCTCCACGCAAGATCTCACCCCGTGGGGTCAAAATGATCACAAGAACGGTGAGCAAAAATCCAAGAACCACACAGGGGGACCTAGTGAATGACCTGCAGAGAGCTGGGACCAAAGTAACAAAGCCTACCATCAGAAACACACTACGCCACCAGGGACTCAAATCCTGCAGTGCCAGACATGTCCCCCTGCTTAAGCCAGTACATGTCCAGGCCCGTCTGAAGTTTGCTAGAGTGCATTTGGATGATCCAGAAGAGGATTGGGAGAATGTCATATGGTCAGATGAAACCAAAATATAACTTTTTGGTAAAAACTCAACTCTTCGTGTTTGGAGGACAAAGAATGCTGAGTTGCATCCAAAGAACACCATACCTACTGTGAAGCATGGGGGTGGAAACATCATGCTTTGGGGCTGTTTTTCTGCAAAGGGACCAGGACGACTGATCTGTGTAAAGGAAAGAATGAATGGGGCCATATATTGTGAGATTTTGAGTGAAAACCTCCTTCCATCAGCAAGGGCATTGCAGATGAAACGTGGCTGGGTCTTTCAGCATGACAATGATCCCAAACACACCACCCGGGCAACTAAGGGGTGGCTTCGTAAGAAGCATTTCAAGGTC